GCTCACTGATACGGCTCACTGATACGGCTCACTGATACGGCTCACTGATACGGAGGATGCTGATACGAGCCGCTGATACGAGCCGCTGATACGGAGGATGCTGATACAGAGGATGCTGATACGGCTTCCGCTGATACGGAGGCTTGCTGGTACGGAGGATGCTGATACGAGCTGCTGATACAAGCCGCTGATACGGAGGATGCTGATACGGCTTCCGCTGATACGGAGGCTTGCTGGTACGGAGGATGCTGATACGAGCTGCTGATACAAGCTGCTGATACGGAGGATGCTGATACGGCTTCCGCTGATACGGAGGCTTGCTGGTACGGAGCCTTGCTGGTACAGAGGCTTGCTGGTACGGAGGATGCTGATACGAGCTGCTGATACGAGCCGCTCCTGAATGAAAGAGCAATGTTAGATAGCTGTTAAGAAATAGTAAGCAGCAGTATTCCTATTGACACAGTTACTAGCAACACCCCCAGTACCAGTAGTATTGGGCCTGAGGTGCTTGTAGGAATCAGTAGTAATGAGTCCGTGTGGAGGTGTTTATTTCCAGTAGTAAGCAGTACTCTTAGTACTGTCGACTAAAATTACAGGTTCTTTGTTGTACCTTCATTTCCCAGTAGTAAGCACTCTTACGAGTACTTTGAAGTACTTCGCATTGTAGCAAGGTGTGTACTCGTACCTCAATTTTTTACGAAGTTTTTTTGAATTTTCTCTCCAGTAGTAAGGCTCACTCTTACAAATACTTGAATTTCAGTGAGTTGGCGATAATTTGTGTGTGTGTAGAATCCTACGGACTTTGTACTGTGTATTTATTATTGTATATTTTATTACAAGTAACCACACGTACCGTACCGGCAGAAGAAAACCAGAAAACCAAAATCCTTTGACATCCTTGGCACGACTGGGCCAAATTTTTGTTTGACAATAAGATTGCTGCAAGATTAGAGAGGACTTTTCACTTTCCGTCGGGAAACCCAACTCTGACAAAACCACTTCAACAGATCATTATAATTAAGACTTGCAAGCTCAAGGAACAGTCACCATGGTTAACATTTTTGGCATGCAAACAGTCCTTTTTCTCACGATACTAGCGATCGTGCTTGTAACAATTGTAAACGCGGAGATCAAGCAAGACGACAGGCAGATTTTTAGTGGTGACGGACACGAAACAGCACGAGTTTTAAAAACGATACAATTCGGTGAAGTAGACGGGAAAACGCTCCTAGCGCAAAACGCACCAAAGGAAATCAACGTTGATCCTCGAACAACTTATAATGAGAAGTTTATGGCGCAGATGAGTTCACCGTGTAGACCAGAGTATGACGGCTTTTTCGGAGCAACCTCTGGCGATTCTGTTCAAATTCAATACGGATTTCAACTGGAGGTTGAACCCTTGTCATCTGTAATGGATATTTTAGACCTTATCGAGGACAAAATAGTTGATTCTGTTTTGCAATCGTCATTCCCAGAAATGTGTGGAATGCGTCGGACAAGAAGGACAGAGTCACACGACCAATATCTTGCAAGATCATTGAATGATGGACATCCTTCTGGATTTAGGTTTCTTAAATTCGAAGAAGTTGGTAAGATTTACAATCGCTCAAATCGAAAAATCAGATCTGAAATATTGTTCTTACAAGATTTTTTTTTGATCACGTGGTGTGATTTCGCACAGCACAATGTATCCCGGAAGTGAACGACGTCAATTTCTGCGGTATTTTTACCGGAATCGTATATGTGTATGGAAAACACCAAAACGAAGAAGAAATTTTCCAAGCAGTGATGCCTTATATCGATCACGTATTCGAGACTACGAATCCTCGTGGTTTACATTCTGAGTTAGCCATGATATCTCGAGTTGATGAATTCTCATCTACCGCAAGTTTTGACATCAGTCAAACACCCACTGAAAATCAAGTGAAACATATTAGTCGTGGTGAGTTATCAGGACTAGATACGCTCTTGATAATAGTTTCAGGACTGATTTTCCTCTCGATCCTTTACTATTTCTACATCCAATGGGACGAACGGAGAAGGTACCCTGATCATAAGGTGGCGTCCAATAGTCTGAATGTAAGATCTGGAGATGACTATATCGAAGATGAGTATGGAGCCAATGAGGTTGAGTTTGACCAATATCAAGATAACGTCCAGAGCAATGGTATACTGAGTTGAATATATGTACACAAAAATCTGCAACAAAAAAGGGAACAGTTCACTACTGAGCATTTTCATAAAATGAAAAATCACCAATGCCAATAATTTTGTGTATCACTCCTCATTGTAGTACTCTAGCAAGGCCATATATTATAGTTGAAGCAAGATTCTTTAAATATCTTTATCTTCTTTAAAGAAACCAAGCTTAGTCGATTTTTGAAGTATTTGTGGTGAAAATACTATATAAACACATGATGCATTAACTAGTACTACAACAATATATAGTAGAAGCAATAGATATCATGTAGATGAGTAGAAGGACGAGGCAGCTCCAAGTATTCAATTGGGTTGTGCTATTTCTTTCTCATTGTAGTATAAGTAGCACTAGCAGTTTGATCATCATGCCATAACTTTGTGGGCACTGCGCTGCAGCACTGCAGTACTAGAGACATGTTGCCTCAAAATACTACTAAGCAACAATATTCTTTGATGGAGTTGTTGCCATTGGAGGGTATTTGGACCTGCACATATTAGGGCTTTTTGGCCCTTTGATAACTGGTTGCTTCAAGAGAATAGATCAAGAAAATGAGTGCAAAATAATGTGTTACAACCACATGGTGAAGTAGCTTAGTATTTCCTATTCAAATTTGGTTGAGGAGGTTTAACAGTGCTATTGCTCCTCCTCAGTACTTCAGGAAGCATAGTCACATACTCAAGAGATTCAAAGAAGGATAAACTATCAGAAAGTTTGGGGTCAGGTCACAAGTAGTGCCAGTATCACCACCACCAGAAAGTTGCCTCTTGTTCCTCAATAACTTTAAAAATTAGAAAGATAAAGGAATTTCTTAAGAGGAGGTGGGGAATCAATGGTTATGAAATACATAGTGGTTGGTGCGATTGTTGGCTTCAACAACAACAACAACAACAGCAGCAGCAGCAGCAGCAGCAGCAGCAGCAGCAGCAGCAGCAGCAGCAACAACAACAACAACAACAACAACAACAACAACAACAACAACAACAACAACAACAACAACAACAACATGTTCACCACAATAATATTGGTGCACAACAACTACTAGTGCTAGTTGGAGGATGTCAGTTAAAGTAAACAATTATCTGTGTCTAGTAGTACTACTTTGGGTGGTCATAAGGTCTTTGGTGGTACTAGGCATCTTCGTCAAAATTTTTATGATCTGGTTTGTGGTCCAATCATCAGCTGACCTTTCCTGTTGTCACCCTGACCCCCCCCCCCCTTTTTTTTTAAAAAAAAAAAACTGCTAATTTTATGTTTGTATCCTTGTCACCAAATGCTGCAATGGCATTCTACCAACTGGTGCTACTGTTCTTATTCAAACGGAAATAGTGACACCAATGTGTATGCTGTACTATTGCCTGCTGTTCTCATACAGAAGACAGTCTTTATGCCTTCCCCTGTTCACACTATAGGACTGCTCTTGTCAAATCCCATGAGAAAAACAATGGCTACCTACAATTGGATATCTATCTATTGTTACTGCACAACACTAGTAAAACCACCCAACTTGTTGTGAGGAGTAGTCATTGATTTTTTAAAAATTACTGCTAGTATTAAAAATTTTCACTATAATATTCACACCAGATTTTAATGAGGATTCTAAATATGCTAATATTTTCTGTGGCAAATGGAAACACCAGGGATGCCAAAGGGGCGGTTATTCCTGGTATACGCAGCTCATGAGGAAGAAATGTAATTCCTTCCAATTGTTAAGCCAGGGCAGGATGCCATGCCAGAAGAAACACTGACTGGGAAAATCAAGTGAATTGATTATCTTGTGCAAGATGGAAAGGCAAGTGAAGAATGCTGGGAAGCCCTCAAGGAAGTGCTGCAGGATAATGCAGCTATGAGAAAATACAAAATACCATACTACAGTGCAAAATACTGTGATAGACACAATTATCAGAGTCCAGAACCCAAGATCCTTCTCAAGAAACTGGGTATTGGCACAAACAGGAAAGCTATAGTGATAGATGGATTCAACAGTCCCATAGAACAAGATCCACACAATTTGTAAGCTGTTGATCTCTGAATCATGTGCCAAAATGGAAAAGCTTTGTACTTGGTTGAATACTTCCCATAACATCTTGCTAGTAGTAAAAAATGGTATGTCCAAGGATAAAGCCTGGGTCTTCACTACCAAGCTTGGTGAACAAGTATTCAGAGAATTATTTGCTGGGCAATCCAGAGTAGCTACCAGTTTCAATCTTTGCAGAGAGGACACTTTCTAGATGGATATAGCAGCTAATGTTTGGTTTCATATCTCCAAAGCACTGGACATCCTCAAGGCATTTGTGCATGCAGACTTTGGCAACCAGAAGGCAATTGCAGGAGAGTTGGGGTTGACTTACCCCCCCCCCCCCCCAAATCACCTGTTGTCCTTGCATGATGCAATCCATATCACAAATGATTGAAACCAAAAGGGTACCTTCATGCATCAGACAGGCTTTTCCCATACAAGGAAGTTTGTAGTGGTTGTCACCACTGACATGAAGTGATGCTTCCATACAAGCCTGAAGGGATAAGAAAAAGCTATTCAATGTCTCCTGTTTGCACTTGTCAAATGCTTTCTCAACATTTTTGATCAAATGATCAATATTCATTGAGAATTTCTTGTACTATAAACTTTGGATGGAGTAAAAGAAACCAAGGTCAAGTGCATTCAACAAATCTGAACTGTTKGGCGGTTGAGTTTTCACAGAAGTATTCCAGCCTTTTGTCCTTGCAGCAGCTGCAACTGCATCCCTAATACTTTCCTTGTGAGGTTTAGCATTGTCTTCTTGAATGAAGATCTCTGGAGGACCACCAGAACCTGATCCTCCTCTTGGCCACTTTTCACAGATTGCCAGGAGTACTTTGTTGAGTAGTATTTCCTTATAGACCTCACCATTGACATTCTGAGGTTTTGTCACTAGTGCCCCTTTGGGACAGTTGACAGAAGATCTTTTGGCTGGTTCCTTCCTCAGAACAAAAGGCCAAATACCAATCTTGCCGTCAAACCAAGCACCTCTGTTGGTATCCCAGCAGCAAGGTCAAGCCATTGCACATAAGACCGTAACCTTCATCATATGGTTTTTAGACTTTGATATTGACTTTGGATCATCTTCATCAGCAAGGGGATACATAGTCTGGGTGGTCCCCTTGAAATAGAACCATTTCTCATCAACATGAATCCATTTATACCAATCATCAAATCTCCTGTTCCCATCAACATGACTCAGTATCCTGGTTGCACTTCCAGCACTAACACTTCTCGGAGGGAAGTGCTGCCCCTTGGAGCAGCTAGGAGCATTCTTTCTAATGAAAGCTGTGGTTCTGGCCATATTGCCTCTTCTAGCTCACGAGGTTAAAAATAATATTAAGATATTTTTTTTTTCAAACATGACTCAGTATCCACTCAACTCTCTTGAGTTTATTTTCAGGTGTCAGTAAAGGTTTGGCACTTCCATTGTGCTTTCTAATTTTGCCACCCTTTACAAGATGGAACAAAGAAGCTGGAATCCCTGTTGCAGCAGAGAGACTTCTTAAATCACCTCTGTATTTCAACGGAACATTCTTCACTACTGCCTCTACATCTGATAGAGTTCTTGCTTCTTTCCTGCCAGAGTTGGGCCTTTGAGATAACACATTCCCAGCAGGGCAAGTTAATCAATCCACAGTTTTCTTGTACTGGCTCCAAACCCTTGCAATCATCCTTKGTGAGATGCTGTATGTTTCTGCAGCTTCTTTCAAAGCTCCATTTGCAAGATAAAGCGCTCCATTAGAGCTGCTTCTTTTGTGTTGCAAAAGATCCTGAGCAATTGCTAGTCTCTGGTTATTGGTCAGATTCTTGCTTTGCTTCCTTGGAGGAGTGGATGTGTCAGTACCGCTAGTGGACTCATCATCCGTGCTTGTTGTTGCCATATCGCTTGCTGCATCGCTTGCTGTATTGCTTGCCGTATCACTTGCTGTATTGCTTGTCGTATTGCTTGCAACAGTATTGCTTTCCTCAAGGAGCTCCCTTCCATCAGTTATCATCTTGTTGCTATAATCTTGCTGTTTGTTGATTTGCTTTAGAAAGAATCAAGGGGGGGGAAGTGAGTTGAAACAACAGGAAGCTGCTGCAAAGCAAGCACAAAGAGAGGATACATCAGCAATTTGACTGTTGGTTGATTGTTGCAGAGACGCACCCTCTGTGAGTCGGCAACAAGAGTGAACCGGTCGATGGATCCCTTGTTAAGAGTGGGCTTGATTCCCTCTTAGAGCAATGGAGGCCCAAGTCAACTTGGTGGATGAACTTCCAGCACAAGGAAAGTTGATGAGTCACTTAAGGTGCAAAAAGGATTGAAGAGGAAAGAAGCCTTAATCTTAGTCACCAATTGAATGGAAAGAGCAATGTGACAGAAAGGTGCAAAAGAGGAAATTGGGAGGTATAGTGAAATCAAGAGTGAAAATTATTACATGAAAATAACACAGGGCCCAAATTTGCACCATACGCACAGCACTATTTTCTCTTTGCATTCTCTCTCCAGCTCAAAACTGAAAAAGCACACGATGAAAACTGCACAGCGCCTGAGTATGTGCCCGAGCAATATTTGGGTTCTCTAGTGACCCACTATGACTGCATAAGAATATTTTCAATAAGTGTGATAAGAATATCATGACACAGCTCTCAGCTTTAGTATCTTTCTATAGCTATATTTGGTGCCTTTAAATGGCTGTTGGAACCCATTCAACCAGTAAAACAAAAATCATATGCTAAAATGGGGCCTCTTTGAAGAACAGCTGTGCCTCTTTTTCAATGCTTTAACACTTAACGTGATCAAGACAACATTATACTTCTATTACAGAGCTGTTAAGTTCAAAAAGAAGCATTCCAATTGCCCAGTTATTGAGCTTATTAGTAGTAAAGGTCAATGTGGGACACATAAAGTGAAACAGAAGAAGTATCACAATTATAATTTCTTGACTAACTTGATTCAGGAGCTACTACGAAGCTCTCCACGACAGACGTACAGCAGCAAGACATCCTGTCTTGCTCTAAGTGTATGAGTACCATACGTACCCTAGCCTAGAGATACGTACCGTACGTATCGTATCGTATCGTATCGCAACTTTCCTCCATCGTAGCGTAGGTACCGTACGGTACCGTATGTATCAGGAAGTCAAAAATCAAAATCAACTACTAGTACGAACGAAATCCTCTTTCGATGCAAGTTTTTAGTTTTTGTTCATACACGATTTTGATACATCGTACCGGTACCCCCTACTCTGTTCGTTCGATGAATAAAACCCCACTCGTTGTAGTCTGCATCCCATCTTTTCTTTTACGCAATCGATTCTGAGAAGAAGTATGGGACGTATTGCCCGTCTCAATCGTCGAAAAAACCTAAAGGATATCTCTTTGAAGAGTACCTCCCGTCCCAAGCATGGATTACAGAATCTTCGAGCTACCAAGCGTAAATCATTGCCCTCGGTCACAAATAATATGCGACTTAGTACCAACGGAAGTTGTTTATCCATGAACAGCAAAACTATTGAAAAACTGAATTCAGCAATCCGAGTTAACTGTGATACAAGCCTCATAATTCAAAAAGAGGTCATGGACCTCTTGCAATCGAGTTCAAACCAAAGCTGCTCAGCACTTTCGATGGCTACTGCATTGCTAAAAAGCCAAGCATGTCTAGATAATCATTCATTCAATCACGAACAGACGAACTCAAAGACAATGGCTACTCGAACACAACGTACGGGAAGCATAAGTTCCAAGCTTCACAGCATATTCTCCAGGAAAACAGAAACGGAAGAAATGAAATCTCGTTACGAATTGATGGGTGCATTTGCCAGGATCGAAAAAAATCCATCTTCTAGAGACAAGATTGTTTCCTCTTGGAAAGAGGCGAAGATAGTACTGGAGGAAGAGCTCAGCTTTCCATCCACAATTGTTCCTTCTGAAGTTAACAATTCCGATCAGGACTTTGCTTCCTTGCAAAAACAACCTCTATCATCTACCGCAGAGAAACATGCAAACATGCTAGAATCAGATTTGAAAAATGTCCAGGAGGGTTTCTCTGCATTATGGCTGTCTAGTACGAAATGGAAACAAATTAAATCATATCCAGATCAAAAAAGGTTACTCGAGACGGCGAAGAAAGGAGATACGACAGAAGATGCCGAAGATTTAGTCACTTCCATAGAAAGAGAATCTATCGAGAAAGCTGATCTGTACTTTAATGCACGAATCCCAAATGCCGAGGCACTGTACAAACACGTGCAAAGAAGAGATGATAGAATAACAGAGCTTGAGGAGCGAATGAAAGCAAAGGAAGCAGAAGAGCGGGCTTCATCTTTGATGCAGACACTGAATGACGACGATCGACAGATTGTGGAAGATGCTATTCACGGACATGGCGGTGACGACCAAATCATCGCTCAAGTCGGGGCAGACTCCGTTCGAAGAGCATCAATGAGAACACTGAAGCCTGGAATGTGGCTAAACGACGAAATCATTCATTACTTTTATTTGATGTTGGCGAAGCGAGACGAGGGGCTATGGAAGAACGATCCCTCTCTTAAACGATCGCATTTTTTTAAGTCATTTTTCATAACCAAGCTTTTGAACGAAGGCAGTGCCATCTGCGACGGGAAGTATGAGTACCGCAATGTAAAACGATGGTCGAAAAAAGTCCCAGGGAAAGACATTTTTAACCTTGACAAAATTCTTTTCCCGATCAACATGGGTAATATGCACTGGATCTGTGCAGCAATATTTATGAAGAAGAAACGAATAGAAATTTTCGATAGCATGGGGTCTAGTGGAAATAGGTATCTCAATGCCCTTTTCAAGTACATCCAAGACGAGCATATGGACAAGAAGAAAACCCCCCTTCCTGATGCAGATGCGTGGGAACTTGTACCAACTCAGGGGGACACGCCACGTCAAAGAAATGGTATGTTTTTCGATATGCATCTCGGATTTTGATTATTTGTTTGTTGAAACGGAAAATCAACCGTTCACGTGGTTGAAATTCACGCTCACCGGCTACTTTTTCTAATGTTCCTCTGCAATCATAGGGCATGACTGTGGTGTATTTACATGCATGTTTGCAGACTTTTTGTCTAAAAATACTGCACTGGTATTCAATCAAGACCACATCAATCAATGTAGAGAACGAATTGCTTTATCAATTATGAAAGGCGAGGCAATCATGTGATCGACAAACGAGCTGATCATTTTGTCGGTACCAAAAGCTCAGCGAAGGGGCAGAAACATGTCAATACAAAAGCGTGCAATATTGATAGATTGAGAGAGAAGTTTGAGTTTCAATGGACGAAAGATACTGTACTGTTTGGGAACTGCGATTTAATTATTGAAAATTGTGAAGACAGATTCGGGTTTCGGGTACTTTCATAACAAAACGGATGGGGGTTGTAAAAAGTTTTATATCAACGTATCCGATGTTCGACTTGATACGTGACTACAAGAATAGACTCTTTTTTGAATTGTGTAGGCATCTGAAAAAGTCTTAGTCGTATCCCTTTCATATATCAAGCCCTTGATTTCCATGCTGGGAACAGTACTTACCAGCTGGAAATGCTGGATTTGCAATCTGGCATGAAATTGAAAATATATTGCGTAACAACTAATGCAGTCCATGTAATATTTGGTTATTTCTTCATGTTACACTCCATTCTGTAATAATTGAAGCCTTGCGATTCGAATAATTGCGGGCAGATAGTTCTTTCCGAAATGTTTCATCTTCTGATTGGAAGGGTCAAGGACTGGAATTTTCGTGCTGATGCTTTCTAACATTCTCATATGTTATTAGATATCAAGAGGGGTTGAACTCGCTTTTTTTTCTTTTTTGGCTTCTCACAAGACGATGTGTTGCCTTCCTCCGCGGTATTCTTAGTTTCGGTACTAATAGTTTTGCCAATGTTGTTATTATCGAGAGAGAGTTTTGTGACTGCTTCGCCAACAATTTCCGTTTCGGATATCGCCCGTTTTGTTGCCGCCACGTTTGTGGTCGATGCTGCTTCAATCGCCTCATCTTGTGTGCGCAGCGAATGACATGAGATCGAATTAGAGACAAGAGTTGGAGTGATTCTTGTTTTCTTCACCCTTTTCGCAGCGGGAGCAACGAGCACCGCTGGCATGGGATCTTGATCGCACGGCGGAAGCGGTTCAAATTCGACCGGAGCCGGCGTCTCGACGTTCTCTTCTGTCTTATCCACGCTGTGTGGCTGAACTGTTGTCGAAGCAGCGTCGTCGCTACAGGAATGATTGACGTAGACATTACCTAATTCCCCAGGTGCAAAGTTGATAATTGATATGTATCCATCCGAGCTGCACACCATGAGATTCATACCATCGGAGGACCAACAACAGTCCGTGAGACCCGAATAGTGTAATCCTTGAAGGACCGATAGTGGAGCTGCATGGTGCGTGTCGTATATCAGAATGCTATCCAATGTGAGAACAGCAAACAGAGAGCGATAGGGAAGGCCGCAAGGATTGGTCGATGGAAGTTGTTCATGCATCAAATTCTTGGAAGCATTTTGACTCTTTGAAGTCAACGGATATTGATTCTCCTTCGATTCTTCGAGTACCGAAGGTGGCAGTTCAAAGAGGATGGGATTTGGTCGAACGACCACCGATGGTTTATCCAACCCGGTCAAGACTCGATAGGGTTCCTCAAACCGATGGCGCGCAAAGATATAGGTAGAGAACAACGGACTGGTCGATGCCGAGGTTTGCGTTGTTTTTCCTGCATCAATATCATTATTTTCATGCCAAAGTGCCGCTGGTGTCACCAAGAATGCCCCATCGACCGTCCAGTTCAGTCTTCGGAAAAAGGATTCGCAGTTCGATTCATCCACAAACAGTTTGTGCTTGATTTGCTTTACATGATGCTCGTTTGTGTTGTTATGATTTTTGTCGCTTCCAGTTCCATTATTGGTGCTATCCTCCACCATTACCAATCGTTGCTTGATGCGTTTCGGTTTCCCTATATCAATTTTTGCTTCGGTGAGAATCTGAGCGACCATACGTTGGTGCTGATGCGGGGGCGGAGTGACTAGAGACCGAGACGCATTCGATCTGACGGAGGTGCTCGCGTTGGCAGGCCTCAATACCTTCTTTTTTGACTTCTGCGGAGTCTTTCGAGGAAAGACTCGGACCGTCCGATCCCCTCCCATGCTGGCAATATAAACATCGAGAGGATCATACGCCACGCCCTGAACAAACGATCCGTGTTGATCTGAGTTTCGAAAAACGGGTTGCCAATCACTCTCCTTTCGATGCGTGTCCGGACTGCATGCATTTATCCCGTAGTGCTTGTCTTCGTAAATCAACACGCACGAGTCGATCGTTCCAACCGTGAAGCGTTTCGAGTCTGCGCTCCAAGACAGATCGACAATGCCTTCGCAGTGAGTGCTAACAATGCGGACTATCAGATCGTTCTCTTTCGTGACGGTGGACCAGAAATGACGGCCGTTGTTGTTCCCACGTTTGTTGACAGGAACCGACCAAATGATGATATTTCCAGAATCACCAGCCGTAGCCAAGTGCAAGCCGTCAGGAGAAAACGCAACGCAGTTTACAGTGGCATCGTGCCTGTTCAGGCTCATCATGTAGTCAATCTTATTGAACAGTGGTCTGGTCTGCTTCTGAAAGATACTACTGTTGCATTCCGAAAGACCAACGCTGGCGTCGTCTTTCTCCAGATCGGTCGACTGTTGCGCCTTGTGTCGATGCGACCCGAAACAGATCTTCCACAGGTTTATGCTGGCGGCATTTCCGGCGGTTACGAGCACGTGAGAGTATTTGCTTCTGTTTTCGCTCTTGGTCTGTGACTGGCTTTGCGCACAGTTACTCTGGTTAGGGGTCGCAAGCCCACTTTCGAGTATATCAATCGATAGCAGAGGCGCATTGATGCCTTTGTCGGCCTCGTTGTTCCACAGGATTTGCGGAGTTTCGACTTTCATTCTTTCTACAAGGCACCGTGTTTCCTTTATCTAACGAAAAAGCAACGGCAGTAAGTGTGGGGCAAGACAAACTCCGGAGCGGACAATCCAATTGGGAACGTTGTAATTTTAATTCAACAAAGAGCAATATACCATCAAAAGAAGTAAACCGCTGGAGAGTCCAGGTGAAGCCTTCTTGATGGTGTTCAGAGTGATGAGCAGTTGGTTTGTTGAGAAGACCCACTTGTAGCAGTTGCGGAGAATATTTAAAAACACATTCCTAGGGGTTCTACCGGAACGTATCGTACTAACCCCACGGCAGACCTACCAATAATTGCAGTTGCACTCGTACAGTACCGTAGAGTACCGTACTGGCACAACTGACCAAGAGTGAGACAAGAAGTTCCTCATCCTACGGTCAAGAGTACCTGGTACTATTACTTACATGTATGGTCATACGAGTATGGCGCGGCATTAGACAAAAGCAGTGAAACGCTGTTCGACATGTACTGTACGTACAGTACTGAAAATCTCGCAAGAGGTAAAAATAGGTTTTGGCGCGACGTGCTCGCGGGCGCCTTTTCGACTAAACTTTACACACCGCTACTCTTAGTTTCCTGTGATACTATTGTACTGCTGACAGTACGAGATGCCTTTATAACTCGTGAAATTATGAGCAATGACAAAAAACAAATAGTGTTACTGGGCCCTCCTTTAGTCAATTTTTAAAATAAAATAGTTTCCGGTACACCCCGCGAAACGAAGAGAAACAAAGAGAATTTTTCTCCTTGTTTAGAATTGCAGTATTCTCATTGTTTCTCATTGTTGTAACAAATAGAAACTAAGAGAATATTGCCTCTCCTTGTTTCTCTTTGTTTCCCATTGTGCAAAGGATACGTATGATACGGAAGTACGGATACGTACAATATGGAAGTACAAGTACATATTGATACAGTTGGACATGCCATTCCTACATACGTATCATAAGGTACTGTTCATACATATACATCGTATGATCCATCTTACTGAAGAATCTAAGAGGTCTAAGATACAAGATACTTGTGACGTCGTAAAAGAACAAAGATGTCACAAGTTAAGAATAGAAAGAACCCCAGGTAGGATCACCAGTACCACGATCTACATAGGGATCCAATCAGAACTCAAGAATTCACAGTGTCGGCTCGTAATAACACGGTGACACTTTAATCTTATAATTTATCATTCTTATACACTAAAAAGAGTATGTGTAATCTCTCATACACATTGTTTATATAAGGAGAAACACAGAGAATATTGCTTGGGCAATGTTCTCATTGTTTCTCTTTGTTTCAGCAGAGTCAATACTAGTATATTAATCTGGGCACTATTCTCTGTATTTTTACATGGTGAAATGATGGGGGAAATTCCTGTTCATACAAAGAGAAACAAATCAGTGATCTTGGTCATCATTCTTTCACTCTCATAAATTTTCTATTCCATCATATATATTGTTGATCTATTCATGATTTATTTTCAATCAATTATATTTTTGAAGAGTTGACCAAGAATAGATCAAGAACAAATTGTGTTGTATACGTAGAATTTCTACTGTTCTTCACAATTCTAAAGGCAAATTTCACATTGAGCAGCAAGAGCAACAAGAAGCAGCAAAAGACCCTCATACTACTAAATAGTCAATATCAGTAGATCTGCAATACTACATTGCTAGTAGTAGTAGTAGTAGTAGTAGTAGTAGTAGTAGTAGTAGCCATAAACAACAACACACCACCACCAGCAAAAAAGCAAGAACACCAGCTGAAAGCTGAGCTAACACATCCATCCATAATGTTGATATCATGCCAAGAACAGCTGGCTCCCTCAATGGGAATGCCAACAACAAGCCTGCAGAAGTTGAATACAAACAACAAGAGCTTGCAAACAAGCTCATTTGCTATCTTGTTTTACATCCACCTCCAAACCCAAGGCGCTGTTGGTTGGAACAGTGATCCATCAAAGAAGTCAATACCTCCATCAGTAGAGCACTATCAAAGCTCATAATATATTCATACAACTCTAAGCAAGAACCAGTTCAAGCATGGAGCAAAGGTACATCATTTGTTCATTTATCCTCCTCCCCTGCCTGCTACCACTGACATTATTAAATTTCACCATGCTCCTTTCCTTCTTGTTGTTGTTGCTCCCTCTTCTCCTAAGTCCATGTCAACACTTGCAAAGAAGAAGCTGGCAGCAAAAGGAATAACTCTTGAAACCTCCCAAACCTCCATGAGCAGAGTAGTGACACAAACCACAAATAGAAGGAAGAAAAAATTCTGCCCACAAAATCAATCCTCAAGACACCAGCACCAGTGACAGGCCTCTCTAAATGCCCCTCATAGGCCCTCATCAATAGCATCCTCACCAGGAGTTGATAATCTGTTTGCAAAGCTGTCACTTGATGATGCCTGTACCTTTCAAATTGCACAAGGTGACCTTCTTGCATACTCTCATATCTCTGGAAGATGGATGGATTTTGATTTCAATACTGAGGACAAGGAAGGCTTTGTTCTCCTCACACTTCTTCTCCATACTAATGACACCAAAAAGGAAGACTTTGAGTTTGAATGGATTGACAAACACACCTTTATGGCAAAAATCAAGTGGCCAACCTTGATGAGAAAGGTGCTGATGATGACAACAAGCTTGGACATGGTTCATGTTGGCACTGCTGCAAATGGTAATCTGATTGATAGAGTGCTTCCCTAAGACCCACAAAGTCACTGCTGGTAGCATGGGTGAGAATGCTACCAGACTCAAGGATGAGAATGGTGATATCTGGAACATGGGGAACTTCACTTTCACGAATCCAATGATGATGGGTGATGAAGTCTACTATGAGGTGAAGGTCTTCAACAATATCATGTATGACAAGCATCTCCTTGGATCTAAATGGAGAGATGCCATCCAGAAAGCCAGAGCAGAATGCACTCTGCATCCATGTCAGTTTGGTGGAGCCCCAGGCAAGGAGGCTCAGACTGTTTCCCTTCTTAAGGAAGAACTCCAGTTTGATGACTCTCAATTGACAAGGATACCCTTTGCCAATTCACAAAGATGTTATCAGTGTTCACGCTCACACTCTACAGAAAGCAAACTGCAGGGAAGCTTCTTAGGACTGTACTCTGGTGGTTTCAAAAAATTTCAGGTCTCTCCAAACCTATTCTTGAATTTCCCTCCATTGCAATCCCATATATCCCCAGCAGATTTTTGCATTGTGTTCCAAGATATCTGACCACTACTATAAAGGGCACCATCACTGTTGACAACACAGGGTTGGTGCTATTGCTCAGGTATGGTGATAACACCATTATGGACCTTGAACTTGCAAGAATCCCTGAGAATGTACTCAAAATTTCAAAAGCAAATACTCCACCAGATAAATTCAGTTTGCATGTATCTCAAGGTTCAATGGCTCAGTGAATTGTGTCTTCCTGGTACAAACACACTGTGTCCCAGTCTTTTCTCCTATCAATGTTTGGAACTCTACAATCCTTCCAATACATATCCATATCAGCCCAATCCTAACAGAAGAAGCTGGAATGTTTTTAATAAACTCCTTCACAGTATTTCCAATGGCCCTATCACTAACAGGATTCTGACCACAGCTTATCAGCTTGACAATTGGCATCCTCCTCATGCTACCCATGGTGTGTGGAGTGCCTATCTGTCTAATAATAATTGCATTTGGACTTCACCGCGTCCAGGCCAATGGCTGTCCCATCCTGTTGTTCTAACTCAAATTGGACGCCCCTGAGTCCCCCCCTGGCAAACATGTCCCTGTTTTTACTTGGACAACCAAAACTGAATGTTTTCAATATGATCCAGCCAGTGTCCGCCTACTTCTGAATGGCTTCAGGACCCTACATCAAATACCCAGCACATAACCTGCTCTTCTACACTGCACAGATCCATGGCAACTCAAAATCCTCAAGCATGTCCAGTCTGAGACTAGCTTCTCACAAACATTGGGTGTGCTTGCTTCAGGGAAAATTCTTCTCATGGTTTCAGATGGATCCTGTAAAGATGGCCACATATCCTTTGGATGGTCTCTGGCTACTACAGCTGGGGATAGGGTTGCATATGCATATGGCCCATGCTATGGCATTGAAAGTTCTCTTTGCCCTGAAGCCACCAGCTTATAATCAGGTAGTCTTTTTGTCACTCTGCTTGCTTTGCACCTTCACCAACAGAACCATGCCCTGAAACCTTGTTTACACTCCAAATATGGAATACAATCAAGGTCTCAACTTAATGAGAACAATCTTCCATTCACATCTCCACTGTCTTCTCAGACTTGCAGGAAAACTTTGAATCATTCCAGTTTTGGGAATGAAAAGGAACATTTTCAATATTTGATCAGAGAATTGAATGATTTGCACCTTCAACATGATGATCACCATCTTTCATCTTTGCACTCATCTGATGCAACAAGCACATCCAGTTCATCTTCATCTTCTAGTGCCACAACAAGCTGCACAACACATGTTACTTTCATCAGTGACAGCAAGGACCTCATCACTAGAATCCAATCCAGAAGTGAATACATATAAGTGTATGCAAATGCCACCATGGCACCAGACTTTGACTTGATTGAACAGATCTTTCAAACCATTCAGACTCCATCCATCACTTTCTCTTTTTCTTGGGTAAAAGGCCACCAAGATGGCACCACTGATTTTGATCAACTTCCTCTGACAGCTCAGCTGAATGTAGACACTGATGGTTATGCTGGCGCCTTTCAAGCTCAGATGACAATGCCTAATTTCATCACACCAGTTTTATTATTCATGTCCAGTGGTCCTTCAGATCCAATCTCATTCAGTACTAACCAGCCAATGTAAGAGAGCTCTCACTGACTCTTGTTTGATCACCCAATATCACACATACCTGGCAGACAAGAACCAGTGGCCATTACGTGTCCTTGCTGATATTGCCTGGAAGTCTGGATGTCCACCCTTGGCTTCTGACCAATTGCCATTGACACTCTTGCTAGCTGTCTTACTGAATGGCTGGACACTGGCACAGTTTCCCCAGAGAAGTATCCATTATCTCTTCACCCAGTTATTCATTTTCAGAGTGAGATTGGATGGCACCACCTGTTTGCTGGCCATATCTCATTCCAGTGGATTACTGACAATGATCTTCATTCCAAGTCTCACTCCCCACTTGTGCTGGGGGGCTATCATGCAGAATTCTTTCTTACTTCTTATATCTCATTGTGGAAATAGAGAAATAAAGACCTCCATGGCTACACTCTTTCTCAGAAGCAAGCACAGCATCAGCAGCAGGCAGATATGAAAGTCCACAATCTGTTTGGAATGAAACCACAGATGCGTTCATCTCATGACCACTTATTCTGAGAAGATATGGAAACATTCATATCTACTGCTCTACTTCCTTGCTTACATACTACCATGGGGTATATGAAAAGACTATTCTTGCAAGTGTTTGCAAGGCCTCACACACATCAACCTCCAACACACACTCTCTTACTTAAACTTCCCATCTTTGCCTCATAGTAAACAGCCACTGGAGAGTGTCACACAAGATTTGCAGGTCTTTGACTCCTACTGCAAAAAGAAACGTCACAGACAGCCTGCAGTGCCAGATACTTCTTTAGCTCCTTTTGTAACACCTTCCCCTTCACTACAGACCAAATTGACCCAATAATTTTAAACACAGCAAAACTCCTTGGAGGGAAGCACTCTCCTCGGTGCAACTAGGAGCATACTTCATACCTGAGGCTATGGTTCTGGCCATATAGTGCCTCTTCCAGTTCACGAGGTTAAGCATGATATTGAGATTTTTTTTCATGCGTGACAAGCAAGGAAACAAGGTGACGACAGATACTACCACGAGTACATTATCAGCAATCAATGAAAATGATAGCAACATGGTTCTTCCTGAAATATCTCACATTTTGTGTTGTTTACAATGACTTCACGTTAAGATAATTGTTTAATTTAACTTCAACATTAAGCAATGTATAATGTTGTTTTGGGTGCATTAAGCTTCGCTATCATGGAAAAATCAATATCCTAGAACTTTGTATGCGACAGCCGCTAAGACTACAGCGGATCCAGCGATGTACGGAGCACCAATGCGGGCGAAGTAAATAAGAACGCTCGTTTCACCAATGCTATCCACCTCGTACGCGCAACGCCAGTTACCTCCGTGGAAAGATCCTTGGGAGAACAACTGGTTGGGATTGTTCAACGAAGTTTTAGGATTTCCAACGCTCTTCGGGCTGTTGAGATCGGAGAACAAAATTGCCGACATGACAGCGTTCGAAGTTTCGGGCGCGAAAATTTCATAGGGCTCAAAATAGGGCATGCCTTCATAGGCCCATGCAAATGTTCTGTTCTGTGTAACAGATACGGTAGAAGTAGCTGGTGCAATGTTTGAAGACACAATACAGCCTTTGCTTCTTGCAACAACGGCACGCCAGTGCTGCATGCGCTTGGCAAGAATATAGTTCGGCCCCTGTGCGACGCTAACTCCGTTGATCATGTAAAAGTCTCCTCCTTCTCCAGCAACTGGAGCTTTGGCGTTCTTCTTTAACAATCTACCCGAACTAAGCAACCTTACGAACATACCTGTTTACACATGAGAAGCAAAACAAGATGAGAGGCCTGACCTTGTTCAGTGCGATTGAAGAGGAAAAATATATCCCGTTCAACTTACATAGAAGACGACTTCCGTATTCCTTGAAGTTCGAAACACTAGCATCCCAAGCTTCCTTTGGTACAAGATGCAAGTCAGTCGGCGTACAAAGGTAAGCAAGGCTGGTTCCCGGACGTTTCTCGCTAAGATCTCTGGTAATTGCATCCATAGCAAGTGACACTTGCACGTGCAAAGCGCCATTGAGGTAAGCATAACTTCCAACTGTGAAACTCTTTCCTGGATAGAGATCCATAAGCCAGTCTCGAATCATAGGAGTATGCGTGAAGAGATTACATCCTGCAGCTGCATACAATGCGTCATCACTATCCAAAGACGACTGCTCTTGCTTTAGAGGGAATGTTATGGTACCTGGAGATTTCTTGGCAAGTCCGATCAATCGTTTCCAGATATTTGGCCTGTCAAGATCCACGGCAATTACATTGGCGCCCAAAGCCAGTAAGACTAAAAGAGGCCCCATCGCCGATCCAGCACCTAGCAAGACAAAGTACTTATCCGAAAGGTCACACCAATTCGGGTTATCGACACAGCCAATAATTGCCTCCCCGGCACTGGGTTCAATGGTACCATAATCAACCCATTTCTTTACTTGATCTTTCAACGACTGTCCTTTAAGAATTGTTCCTTTGTAAGGAACTTCCATCATTGTGGTGTCTTTTGCACCCTCACCCTTAATAAATCCAGTGCAGAATTTCTCAGTATTCTTCATGCTCATTGCTTCTCTGACGCTTACGGCAGACCCGTCGGGGGCAACAAACTCGAAAATATCGTAGGCCTTGTCAAGTCCAGCTTGAGCGATCTTCAGACATGCTTCTGGAGATTTGCACTGTTCCTCTACGAGTCCGGTCAAATGTTTAACATATGTGAAACGGTATCCCTTAGCAGAGCGGATTTTTTCAGCCTTGCTCGGATTAACGGCGCCAACCGCAGATGCCAAAATTTCTTTGTTGACAGGTGTAGAGGATCTCGATTTCTTGCCTTCTTCGACGGGGAAAACAATACCACGAGGCGGTGGAGGAGGTCTGGCAAATCGCTTTTTGAAGGCTGATTTACGATTGCCTACCATATTCATAATCATGAAAGGCGATCCGAACACGTATACCAATGGGAGAATGCGAGCGTAAATCCAAATAGCGATATCTGCAGAGAAAGTAGACTGAAATGCGGGGTCATATGCAGCGCTAAAGAAGCAAGTCAGTTCGCCTGTAATCCCCGTTGGGTACAAAACGGCAAACAGCGAGTATCGCAGCCAAAAGAGGGGATAAGGGGTCTTTTTGTTTGAATCTCCCGTAACCAAGCCGAATGCGTAGAAAAGGTAGCGAAAGATTTCAACTAACGACCAGGAAATAATCATGACACCAGCACCCCATTGACCTTTGTAACCAGAATACGTTTTAGGTCCACAAGAAGAAGTAGGAACAAATTAGGTAAGATACACTTGTGTTTTTTCTTGTAAAGCAAGGACTTATGGATGCAATGCTATTTACAATGTAGGTCCTTTCACTTACTTTGAGCTTCAGGTGAATACGTGACAGCTACCAAGGCAACGATTCTTGACATGACTTGCATGGCCGTAACCACGACCGGAGACCTCACCAATCCTACTGCTGCATGAAAGATTTCAAGCAGCGCGGCCGACTGTGTATAGAAAAGAAGGTCTCCCACAGGTTCTGCAGACGATACGACCTGAAAAGGCATGTCGGTATTTTGATACACATTAGCTAATGATTCCTTTAACCCGTCCTGCGGTACACCGTTGGCTAGGGATCGAATGGCAGCTAACAGGATGAGCGACCATCCGGCACAACAGCTTAGATTGTACACAATCAAGTACATTTCTTTGGGGCCCATGGTGTCGAAGTTCCTCTTATGTCTGGGGTCGTCGAGGTAGAATGAGTTTGACACTCGAGAGGTTTGTATTGTAATGAGCAGAATCGAAATACAGGTACTACCATCCAGAATTGTGATGACGGTTAGCATGAGGAGATGGAAAGTAATGCATTTCGTACCCGTACAATCTTCATCAATTTTTTAAAAATCTTACGAGGTGGATGCAACTGTGACGTTGCTGCGGGCAGTTCATTTCCCCCTTTTCCTTCTTTCCATTCCAGAGGGAGCAGGAATATCCCCTCGTATTTTATGACTGAAAATATTTCAATCTTGGAAACATTTTACAAAAAAGCAAGAGCCTGCGGATTTTTAGATAACTCACGCATCATAGCTTACTAGGGCCAATTAGAAATACAGTACACTAATGATCAAAAACGGATGATGGGCGGCCGGGCGGCGGCCCAATCTAACCGACGCCCGACGGTATTCGGTATTCGTTCCTCAGCTATCGTAAGTACGTACGTACGTATGTAGGTTACCAGGAAGATGAAGAATTACGGCTATGAGTAATGAGTAGCAATCGTACAGGTACTCGTAGGTATCGTACTACCGTACGTACTTACTCGTACTTCTTTTCACAGACTAATGAGTTGGTTGGCTCTTCTCCCTCCCTTTGCGTACGGTACTCGTACGAGTACGTACTGTATTTTCTTAGCACTTCATTCTGTAGAACTACGTTGGCATCCTACTACGAATGAATGGCAGTAGAAGGTATTACGTACGTACTGCACTGTAATGAGGAGCTTCTCATCCTGTACCTTACTGTACCGGTACGGCTCGTACCAAAACACCAATTTTTCGTACTCTTCAATACTACCGTAGAAGAACTGAACTTCTACGAAGTACACTTACAGTACGTACTCGTACTACGCCGACCCTTGCTTCGAAAAAATGGAAACGATTTTGCAGCCGACATCACAGATGTTCACATCATGCTTAAATTTTGTGGAGGAACTGAAATACGTCAAAGGAAAATAATTGACAGCGTCAATTCTATCCCTGGAGCATAACTATGACGAACAAGCTGCATTTGTTGTTCGGGTGTTATTCATTCGTAGCAGTATTGTCCGCTTTATCTTCGAACGGATTCATTGTCAAATGTACTGAGTCGCGGAGTGGGCGAATAATCCACACGAATCACATTGCGGAATCCGTGGTGCGACTAAAAGTTCTTCAAAGTCCTGAGTTAGACTCATCGAACGAAAAAGAGGCAGATGGGAGCGAAAAGAAGTGGTGGGAAGATTTCACGTTCGAAAATGGTGACGTTGCTGCAAGATGCCGCCCTGATTTTGAAATTCTTTCGTCCACTACCATAGGTGATGATAACAGCATCGAACCAAATGGAAACGGCAACACCGACAGCAGCGACGAAACTGGAAAGATCAACAAGAAGCGTCTTATATATTTGGATTCTGGTGCCACCTCTCAAAAGCCTGCGCAAGTCATCCAAGATACAGCGGAATACTACGAACACACCAATTCAAATGTCCATCGTGGTGCTCATACGTTAAGCCGTAAGGCCACTGCAGCTTTCGAAGATGGACGAGATACTGTTGCATCCTTTATTAACGCAAATTCTAGAAACGAAATTGTTTTTACAAGTGGTGCTACCGAAGCACTCAATTTGGTCGCCTCTTCGTACAGTCGTGCGATCAAACTAAAGGAGGGCGATGAGATCCTTTTGACCGAAATGGAGCATCATTCTAATTTGGTGCCATGGCAAATAATTGCTCAAGAGACCGGTGCTGTCTTACGATTTGTAAAGATTGATTTCGAGAACACAGGCTGTCTAGATTTGGACCATATGGAAACGTTGTTGAATGAAAACACTAAAATTGTTGGCTTCCAGCATGTATCCAACGTTATGGCCTGTATCAACCCTGTAAAAAAGATGGTAGCTATGGTGAGGGCAAAGGCTTCACCAAACGCTATTATTGTGTTGGATGCCTGTCAATCTCTTCCTCATATGAAAGTGGATGTACAGAGCCTAGGTGTGGACTTTTTAGCGGCATCAGGCCATAAAATGTGTGGACCTACTGGCATTGGCTTTCTATGGGGAAAAGAGGAGCTTTTGAATAGCATGCCTCCATTCATGGGCGGTGGAGAGATGATTGATCAAGTAACTTTGGAAGGGTGTACTTTTGCTCCCGCTCCCGCTCGATTCGAAGCAGGGACACCTCCGATTGCCGAGGTCGTGGGTTTGGCTAGTGCTATCAGGTATTTAAACTCGGTGGGAATGGATAAGGTCGAGGCGTTTGAACATGAAATTGCGGCATACTTGTATGATCGGCTTAGTGAAGTTGATAGAGTGACAGTTTTGGGTCCCCCAAAAGGTGTTGAACGGGCTGCCCTGTGCGCCTTCTACGTAGATGGTGTTCATCCAAGTGATCTCAGTACGTTTTTGGACATGGAGGGCGTCGCAATAAGAGCAGGTCACCACTGTTGCCAACCGTTACATCAAGCATGCGGAATCTCTCATTCCGCTCGAGCCAGTCTGTACATATACAATACAAAACAGTGAGTTCAAATGACAAGGTGAAACACACTATGGATGTATTTCCATTCGTTTCAAACTTACACAGAATTATCGCAACGCCAATCGTATGACACGACTCACCCGAAGTATTATCTTTCTCTATCTCACATGCTTGCACCCCAGTGATGTTGATTGCTTTATTGAACATCTCGAAAACACGATTAAGTTCTTCACAGGCCTACAAAACGAATCTGAAGGCCAAGATGACGATTTTGTTCCTTTCATTTAATTTTGGCACCCTACCTTGATTAGAGGGCTATGAATAATGCGAATCGTTGAAGAGGCGGTCGAATCGGAAAGATTCAATGATGCTTGTTTTTCCTGTAGGTCTTAATCATAATCCTCGTCTGACGTGCATTGCGGTCATCATCATTATTATTAGAAGTATCTATTAGAAGTACCGTTCTGCTGTATTTCAAATGATTTTTTTTACGCACCGTCCGGCAGTACGTACTCGTACCTCGTATGGTACTTGTACGTACTCAAAACCTTGATTTGGATGTAAAATGAACAACTCGTACCAGGCCTCTATGTCTTCGGTACCACGGCGTTCAAGCTCCTGGAGCAGCTTACTGTACCGTATGTTTATTTGGTTGTTCCAAGGAACGTACCGGTACTTACTGGTACTGCAGGTACAAGATGATCGTATCTTACGGTACTGTAAGTGAAACTTACGCACGAAAAAGGGAGAGAACGCACTGTGAGCCTAAATCACGAGTAGATAGTGAATAAGCTCACTCTTTATTGTAAACACGTAGTTATACGGCACTAAAGAGCACACGTACATTTTGCAGGTTATCAGCAACAACAACGTACATTTTGCACGCACATCAAGACTACAGTAATACTTGTACGGTAGGTAGTACCGGTAGGTGCCGCTACTTGATACGACAGCAACTCCCCTGCTGTTGGCATCAAAAATCCATCACTTAAAAATCCCCTTTCCAAACACGAAGCACCGCTTCGATATTACCGGTAGTATCGAGCATCGGGTGCATCGATGATTGATCGGATATTTTTCGTCGGCATCTAGCGGTTTATCATTCTATATTTTTAGCTCTCAGGTTCGTCGCGAGATGGTGAGCAAGAGAAGGACGTTTCGAAGCTCAGTCTTGCTCATTCTTTTTCTTGGTGGACTAGGTAGCCCAATAACGATGGCGACTGCTTTTCGATCCATTTCCCGTTCATCTTTATCGACCAGCAGGCGCGGTGCTATTTCAAAAAGAGTGGCTCCTCACCGATTTGGTAAACATTCGTCTTTAAAAGCCAGTACGAAGAGCTTCCGATTTTTATCTTCATCTCCCTCTCTGTCTCGATTGTTTTTGACCGAAAATGGTATAGGTGAGAAGGGGGGCTCGGAGAGACAATCGGTAGCCATAATTGGAGCAGGGGTACGTAATTGGAGAATGCTGTGCACTCAATATGTACTATTGTTGAGATTTTGCACCGTGCACATCTGAGATTTTTTACTAAATGTATTGGTTACGATCGCATAGGCTGTGGGTGGTTATTATGGAGCAAGACTATGGGAATCTGGAAAATACGACGTCAAGTTCCATATGAGAGGCGAAAATTACAAAGTAAGCACTCGCGACGGATTCTCTGTGAATTCTATCGACGGGGATATTTTCATTTCACCCGAGGACTTAAGAGCCTTTGAGAACCCGGAAGACGTCGGTCCTGTGGATTGGGTTATTGTGTGCATAAAGAGTTCCTCCCTCGACGATATTCCAGGCTTGATCCATCCTTTACTAGACGCAAAGAGGACTCGAGTACTTGCAATCATGAACGGCCTTATCGAAGATGACTTAGTCCGCTTACTCAAGGAACGAAACGGCGAAGAATTTTGTGCCGCTTTGTACGGCGGAATGGCATTAGTATGCTCAAATCGAACAGGCCCTGGTAAAATAGAACACTCCTATGCTGGACTACTCAGTGGAGGTGTCGCAATGTCTCGCAGATCCTTTACAGCTGAAGATAACCAGCAAGCATTTCGAGATCTATGGGCCCCGACTTCGATAGATATTGCTTACGAACCATCACTGTTAGGAGGGCGATGGAGAAAATGTTTATGGAACCTGCCATTTAATGGGATATCAGTTGCAATGAATGGAATCACAGTAGATAAAATTGTGAATGATTCAGGATTGCGACGCCTTGCATTCAAAATTATGGACGAAACAGTTGCAGCAGCGAATGCCGATTTGGAAGCAAATGGCTTTGGAGAGGAGTTTTTCCTTGGTGATGTGGATAAGAAGAAAATGATGGATCTGAGTGATAACATGGGAGCTTACAGAACGTCAACAATGATCGACTTTGTGGAAGGTCGTCCTCTTGAAGTGCACTATCTTTTCACAAAACCAGTACAAAAAGCTCGAAAATTGGGGGTTCCTACTCCGTATTTGGAGACTCTTGTTACACAGATTGAAGCATTTCAGAGGTTGCGATATTAGTACTGACTCATTTCGCTAATGAAGACCACCATAAAAATAGACATTGTCAATGACACAGGAATTTCATGCACGAAATTCAGGCCAGCGTTTTGACTAATCGCCTTATTTTCAAGAAATTTAATCAATTAGGATTCACAGAATAGTCAGAGATACTAGTATGGAACAACATGTGGATAAGTAGAACAGTCGTTTCGTTCAAAAAATCTTTTGTTCATCAGACTGAGGCAAGGATACCTTACTTAAAAATATGTTTCTATTCACAACAACGGCGGAAGGGCTTGATGTCCCAAATTTTCGCGGAATTGATTCTGTAGTAGAGGTATCATCAGCATTTCGTGTTTTACCAAATCATTCCACTATTCAGTAGTAAGTTTAATTCTTCCATACAGATATGTATTTAGAATGCAACGACCTAGTTCACGTTACCTCTGCTCCTCACACCTTTTTCATCGCTATTGTTTTTCCCCCGTCCAAACAAACGAAAGCCACCCTTTTTTTTGGTTGGTTTCTTAGTCTCATGAGATTTCACCGTTCTCGATGTTTTCTTATTTGGCGAAGAACTCGGCTCGCGGTCAGTATTCATAATATAATGCCGCACATCATCAATTTCGCAAGCTTTATTTTCTGTTTTTGAATTCTTAGCCAATGGTCTCAAAGGACCTATGTACCGGAGAAAAATTAGTTTGATTTCACTTGGATTTGGTGAATACCGAACCACGTCGCAAATGTCATCAACCTTCATCTTGATACTACTAATACCATTGATTGAAGCTAATTGATCGCCAAGTTCAACTCGACGACTCAATGCTGCGCTACCATCTGGTGAAACCTTTGTCACGAAACAACCTCCTATCTCATACAAGATGTGGAATGTTTTTCAAAAAGTCTGTTAGTAAATTTGGAGTCAAAGCAACACATCGGAACGTCTGGATCTTTGTAAACTTACCGTCGTTCTCAAGAAATATAACTGAATAAAGAGGAATACAAAAAGGAGGCAAATGGGTAATTCAAAAAATATAAAATAGTATGGAAGGAAACCGATAAAGAAGAGGCACTTACTGCCTAGAGGTAGCTTGAGCGTCACAGGACATATCTTCACTTCCTTATACATATCGATCGGGATTGAATTGTCGTACGCAACACCCTGAAGCCTATGAACTGACCGAGCAGCATGCAACGCAAGTTTAGGAAGCTCGGGGCTTCTTTCCACCCCCAACGGGCGTCGGTTCACTTTATTTTGGGTACCAACAATCAAACTTCTTTCGTGTTCTTCAGCTGCATTCGTGTCAGTATCAGGATTTTCTTCGCTATGTTTTGATCCCAGCAACTTATTCTTTGCAGTTGTCAAGTTAGCATTTTCAGGAAATCCAGTCAAATCTTTCTTAGACGACGTGCCTCCCATTCCAATTCTTCTCTGACCACTAGCGTCGGTAATCATATTCTGATCACCCATTGCAATGCCACATGACTCGAAAATATCATAATCACCCTGAGTTTTTTTACTTTTATCTATTGCACTTTCTTTATCCCCTTCTTGCGTGTAATTTTCAAGTGCATATCCAATAGCTGATGACATGATGGATAGACCACCTTCGACCAAACCAATTATTGCATTCACGGGATCATCCATCGTATCCTTTTCCGACAAAAAAGTTTCCACGGTGTTGCTATCAACAGACGAGGCTCTGGATATAGTTGATGCTAAGGAAGACTTATCATCTCCAGCATTGATATGTCGCGATTGATGTTTTGGTCGTGATTCCGAAGTTGTCTTTGTTGAATTTATAACGTTTGAAGAACCACGACGCGTCTTGGCGACATCAGAGGTCGACTCGGAAGCTGAAGATGGATAATCTTCACCGGTTTCTATGTTAGTCTCATCGAGAACACCTAGTCGTGCTTTACTCCGTGCACCTGCATCCTTGGTTATTGTTGGAAAACCATTTTTCTTTGCTTTTCTCTTAACGTCAGGTTTGTGTCGATATTTTCGCCTCCCGGGTTTGTTCTTATCCGGACTTCCAATAAATAAAATATCCTTTATCATGTCTTCTACCTCGCTTTCCAAGGTTTTAGTGTACATTGAGTTGAGGCTCCTATCCAAAGACATATCTTCCTTGTCTTTGCTTCGATATTCGTATTGATCCTGGGTTTCGAAGTGATGAATTCGGTTCGGAGCTCCAACTGAAGTATTTGGTCCGTTGTCATGCTTCGTGCGCGCGATAGAGTTTTTCTTTTGCCTTGATTTCCATGCTTGCTGTGATCGCTCCTGCAATGTATTTGAGTTCATCACGCAACCAAACCCATAGTTCTCTATTGATGTTTCATCGTCAGTGCACGTTGTTTCAGATAATATCTGTTGTTTCCGACGATGTCTAGAGCGACGGCGTACTCTGTGAGTTATTTTGACGTTATTGTTTTGTCCCTGTTGACTTCTCTTTCCGTCTCTCTTGTCTTCAAATATAGGTTTCGAATCCTTTGAAGAGTTTAAGTCAGTACCGTCATCTATTTTTTCCCGGACAATATCGTCCGTGCTCCCCGTACCATTATTCCCCTCATTATCAATGTCCACTGGACTTCCTTGGCGGCGGTTTGGAATGGCAGGAATGCTCGGGGCAGAATTTTGAAATTCATCTGGGTATGGGTCGCTGAATTTCGGTGGTGGTACAATAAATCGAGCATCGTTTTCCTCTAAGTAGTTATTGTCGGGTCCATCGACGAAACTTCTTTCGGATGGGCCCTGTTCTGGACTTGACAACCATATGCTCTCAAACCTTGTTGACACGGGAGAGGTCGCTAAATCTTCGACGCTGCTGCGATTAGAGACATAAGCGTCAGTATCACTTCCGAGATCAGTCGCTGTCACAGACATTTTTTCTCTCGTAGATTCCCTGTTGTTGACTGCAGCAATATCTGTTTGGTCAAAAGGTTCGCTGGTTTGGACCGTGCTGTTCAATTCGGACTCTCTTGCGTTTGGGGATGCTGCAGAGTATAGATTGTTCGATCTCTCGTTGTGATTTCGTGTCGTCTCCGTTTCGAATTCTACTCAACTTTTGAGTCGCAATTTTCATATTTCTTTGAACAAGGTAACCTGGACAAGACAAAAACCATACCGGTAGGGAAGTGCAGGAAGCGGCTGGCATTCGCATAAATTTATCATTCTGTTGTCTCCCGACCTTAATTTCTCGGAGAATGTGCGTGCGCGACTACCGTACCGATCGTTACTGTACTAGAAGTACTGTACGAAAAAATAATAAGTAGAGTAAGTTTTTAGTATGAACCAGACACTAGACGTACTAAGTAGTACCCTACGAATATGTTGCACATACGCTACGGTAGTACCGTATGTATGTTACGGTCGTGCGAACTCGTACGACGGACTCATTTACTCGTGCCGGAGAGGCAGAGCGGTTTTCAAAGAACACGAGGATAAATTTATTTAAAAACACTACCGGTACCGGACTTCCGCATCGAACGCTAGTGTGTCGGTGGAAAGAAAACAAGGCCCAAACGGCCTATCAGCTTACTACCAGCACCTCCACAACTTGCAGTCAAAAATGAACCAAGAACCGACTGCAATACCACGGATTAGGCAAATAGGCATGAAATTATGAGAGGAAGTACAATGAGAGGCACCAACAACGAAACTTTGAATCAGAAAAGACCATGGACTTCGCAGCTGTTCAAAGCTGAACAAAATATATTATTATCCTCTCGGAAACTTGAACGTGCCTTCAGGGAGATAAATGACGAGTCCTCCGGCGATACCACTAGGAATGACCTCAGTGTCCCAAACCCCATGAAATTGATTCATCGTTTGACAGCTCTCGAAATATCAATCGGGCAACTAAGGCAAGACTGCGAATCAATGTCGAGACATAGAAATCAAGTTGTCCAGTCTGTCGTTTCTGATCAAAACAAGAATGTAAGTCAACCGAACAAGGTGCGCTCCGTTACTCCTTTGTAATATCTGGTCACATACAATGCCTCCATTCAGAACGCTCTGTATACGTACTAACAGTAATTACAATTCTCTCCTTCTGTTGATCATGGTCAACGAACGACACTGTTGCTTGCAATAGATCCTCCAAATCAAGGAAATGGATTCGTTTTCGGAATACCTCGGAAAAGATTTTGAATGGGATGAGCTCTCTCAGGAACTGAGAACACAGTTGGGCCTTTTCAGTTCTACTGCCACTGAATACTAGCATTGTAAGTTGCAGGCTACGCAGTCATGATCTCTTACTACAAAATTCTATGCAATTTCAAGTTTCATTAATTATTAGAAGAATTTTTCGTATCCAAGAAAAATGGGAGACGAGTCGAAATGGCTATGTTGAGCGTGACTTGTTCCCATGGTGTTACAACCAGAAGAGCACACATCTCAGTGCATCCGCATTTTCCAACTTGTTCGATCGTTCGATGCAACAAAGATGTTTCTCTCCATTGGTAAGGCCTAAAGATATTCACTTTTTGGTAATGAAGTCAATACTAGTGTTCACATTACAATCACGCTGTTTTGCCTTAGCTTACGATCTGCCTAGATAAAGAAGCTGAATTGCGAGCTTGCTTGCATCAGCTATCAATTAATTTCAGAAGGGTTCCAATTGACAGTTTTGTCTGTAAGATATTGCATCTCTACCAGATCATTGATAAAAATATACACAACATACTTTGATTCATTTCACCCTGAAAATGACCATTGTAAGAATAATAGAAACTCATCACCCAACTACCCCCAACAAATCTAATGCAGTAGTATGATGTAGCTGTCACTTTTTTAGTTTGCTATTGGAGCTCAACCTGTTTTTGTCACTTTACTCTACTTGTAGGCAAAAAACATAATTATTCTACATTACCAATGGAGCTTCTGCTGTCAAAACCAAGAGTGTGATCACCTTAAGTATCGTATGAGTATGCAGTGACTGTGCACTTTTGAATTTTTGTTTGAGATGATTTGGACTCAAAATCATTTTAGAGGAGTCAGCAGCATGGCCTTCCTGCCAACAACAAAATATTTAGAATTTTTGGAATGCAGTAAATATAAGAACATGTACATCAAATTCAGCAACAAGGATTCCTCTTCAGGCAAATCCAAAGGCATGGAAGCATCCAGAACTTTCAAACTAGCAGTTAAGTACACCATGTTATGCTGGTTCTTCCAGGGTGCCATTTTATTGGTCTGCTGAAGGATGGATTTTCTGTATATTGGAAACTTCATTTCAGAATTTCCCCAATGTAGTAACTTAGCTAGTAGTATACACCACCAAAAAATCCTGGCTTCTTCTACTAGTAGCAAAGCCAACAATGGCATAGTAGATAGACTAGATCACAGCACCATATGGTTCAATTTAAGTTGTCTTGATAACTTTAGAGGCAAACTTATGATCCCAGAAGATATATATACTATATATATACATAGGATGCTGGTCATACTACTACAGCAGAGGGCACTAATATCATGGAGGATGCTAATATGGGGGACATAGATGGTATGGAGGAGCTGCTGATACAATAGTACTGCTGATGCAGTGAGTTTCTTGTAGTACTTCTTAGGTCCCAATCAATTTTCTGCTTTGTGCTGTATGATACTACTACTAGATAGAAGTTTTTTGTCAAGGAAAAAAACAGTTAACAGTTTCTTTGTGGTACCTCCTACTATTGAGGTGTATTTGTATGATCCCAAGCACCCTGTGCACTTTTTTGTTGATAATCAGAGGACCAATCATTTTTTTAACCACAAGAGGACTTCTTCTAGTACTCTAGTACTACTAGTACTACTGCTAGTAACAGTAGTAGGAGTAGTACTACTAGTAATTCTATTGATACTACTACTAGTAGTACTACTAGCAGTATCATGGAGAAAAGAAGGGCCTAGTAGTATCTGCATGGAAGCATTGGTTACAGCAAGCTCTGGTTACAAGCTCTGGTTACAAACTCTGGTTAAAAGAAATCTTAATATTATATTTAATCTCATGAACTAGAAGAGGCACTTGGATGGCCAGAACCATAGCTTTTGTTAGAAAGAATGCTTCTAGCTGCTCCAAKGGGTGGCGCCTCCCTCCGAGGAGCTTTTGTGGAGACGCGACCAAGTGTTATGCAAACTGATAGGCCAGTGACGGCCCAAGGCTGAACTCAGAGGACATAAAAGCAGTTGGTTCACAGTTTGGATGGATGAGAACCATGCCATTGTCATTTCAAAGGTCACTGCCAAGCCCGTAGGTTGGGGGTGCTCAAGCCCCAACCTATAGGCAAGTTCCCAGGCGCAGTGATCAGCAAAATGGGTGTCAAGCACACTGCCAAGCCAATGAAGGCAAGTCGTGTAACAGTGGTCGAGGACACTTGTAGTCAAAAAGAAAAAATCAGAAAAAAGAAAAGTCAAAAAGAAAAAGAAAAAAGGAAACGCTGTACTTCTTTCACCAAATTACAGCTGAGCCTGCCCAAAGGAGCAGCTCTTTGAGTATTGTCTTCTTGAAGAAGACACTGGAACAAATAAATCAATTCTTCTGTCACCGCTAGTCCTGGGGGTAAAATAAACTTGTGGGTGTTGCTGATCCTGTCTACCACATAGGACAGGAACAACAACCATCGTGACTGGAAGCACGGGGGCTTCCAGTCCTTGAGAACTGGGGATGGATCCAGCTGAGGCAAAGCAGCTGGAATAACTGGGGTTGGCGTTGTTGCGTTCCGGCACGAATGTTGGAACCAACAACAATCGTGACTGGAAAACACTGCTGTTGCAAAACTGCTGGTGCTTCTGGTCCTTGAGAACTGGGGATGGATCCACCTGGGGCAAAGCACTCAGCTGGAGGAACTGCTGGGGTTGGTGTAGTTGTGTTCCGGCACAAATGTTGGAACCAACAACAACCTGACCGGAAAGCTCTTCTGGTCCATAAAAACTGGAACTGCATGGAGATGCTAGGGAATCTTCTTTCGAAACTGAGTATGATGTARCATATACTCCAGGCGTTGTTCTTCATAGGAAAGGTCTTGGTTGAAAACTGGGGGCTGGGGTTGGTGTTGTTGCATTCTGGCACGAATGTCGGAACCAACAACAATCGTGACCAGAAAACACTGCTGTTGCAAAACACTGCTGGTGCTTCCGGTCCTTGAGAACTGGGGATGGATCCAGCTGAGGCAACTGCTCACAGCTGGAGAAATAATACCGGCTGGGGTGGGGTTGTTGTTATTATATTCCGGCACGAATGTCAGAACCAACAACAACCTGACTGGAAAACTCTTCCAGTCCGTAAAATACTGGAAAAGGAACTGCAAGGAGATGCTGGGGAATTGTCTTTAAAATTGAGTATGATATAGCATATACTCCAAGCATTGTTCTTCAAAATAGGTTGGGATTGAATACTGGGGGCTGGGGTTGGTGTTGTTGCATTCCGGCACGAATGTCGAATCCAACAACAATCGTGATCAGAAGCCACTGGTGCTTCCGGTCCTTGAGAACTGGGGATAGATCCAGCGGAATCTTCTTTGGAGTACTATGTATGTAGTATATACTCCAGGCTTGATTCCTCAGTAGGATTGAATACTGGGGCTGGGGTTGGTGTTGTTGTTGTCCGGCACGGATGCCAGAAATAACAACAACAACAACAACATTGTGACCAGAATCTTCTTCCGGTGCGTACAATACTGGAACTTCATGGAGATGCTGGGCAATCTTCTGTAAAATTGAGTGTGATGTAGCATATACTCCAGGCTGTGTTCTTCACTAGGTCTTGGTTGAATATGGGGGCTGGGGTTGGTGTTCGGCCCGGATGCCAGAAACAACAACAACAACATTGTGACCGGAATCTGCTTCCGGTCAACTGATACTAGAACTGGAACTGCATGGAGATGCTGGGGGAATCGTCTTTTTAGAGGAGTATGTGTGTAGCATATACTCCAGGCTTGATTCCTCAATAGGACTGAATAATGGGGCTGGGGTTGGTGTTGTTGTTGTTGTCTGGCACGGATGCCAAAAACAACAACAACAACAACGTCGTGACCGGAATCTTCTTCCGGTCCGTAAAAAACTGGAACTGCATGGAGATGCTGGGGGAATCTTCTTT